GAACTCTTGGAAGAAAAAGACTGGCCGTCACTTGCTGCGGTTGATTTTGGGCTTGCTCTTAGTTAGTTTGTGGAGAAGGAACCAATAGTTATCAAGGGAGTCCTGCGGATTCCCCTTGATAATGTGTAGCTGAATCTCTGTTTTTTAGTCAAGGGGATAACTGAAGATTTGGTTCAATAATAACCGTGAGATCTGAATTATTTTAACTACTTCCTTCATTTGTTGGTATTTGTGTGTTTTCTGCTTTTAATTGTTGGTATAACTATCGTGTATGATTGAATAGGTGCGCAATATTTAATTATTCACGTAGGCTATTTGCTAATTAGGGGTAGTTGAATCCGTAATTGTTCGATTACCTCTGTCCCGGTAGCAACTGGCATAATTGGGTTTATGTCAGGGAAACATACGATCTAATTTAAACAAATCCTCATAGCGTATTTGTTAGTTAGGATTGGGCCTTTCTAATTATTAATGCAATCTAAAAATTAAATCCTACGGTCGTACCTAGGGTTGTTTCCGGATCTGAGAAATAGTTAACGGTCGTACCTTAACTGTCGAGAAATTAAGGAAAGATTGGTTGTTTATTGCGTGTATGATAGCTATAACCAATCTATTAATAAATATTGGAATTGTCTATGAATCGATGATCAGTGCATGAACCATTTCTGAAGTGTACCCGTGGCTAGAACTCTCTTAATTATTTCTTTTAATTAATTATTTTCTGCAGTTAAATTATTTAGTTAGCTTTTAATTCTAAAACCCCCTATTTGTTTTGACTTGAAAGGAAATCAATTTCTCACCAGTCCCTGAGAAAACGACTCTGCTTGTCACTGTCTGCTATTTAGTGAATTTAGTCAGATAATTAATTCGAGTATATCGGATTAAACAAACTCTTCGAGAACAGAATGAATCAAGTAACCCATTGCACACCTAGAGTCCCTGCTCCAGTACCTAAAATTGATTTTTGGCTACTTTTGATGGTAGTTAGGTTTTATTTATTATTATTGCACAGGTTCGGCACCTATCATCTACTTTTTTATAAATAAAAAGAAATGAATTATATATCAATTGATTGAAACATCCGGTTGGAGAGCAGATAATACAAGTTATCCTAATATAAATCTACTTATTTTGTTTTTGTTCAATGGAAAAGTGCCAATTACATGGCGACTATCCTACCAATAATAAAACCTGCTTTTTTAAAGAAGATTCTCTTACACATTAGTCCATATTCCCTTTTTTTTTTTTTTTGTCTCGAATATTTACCCTTTCCCGTTTCAAAAAAAAAAAAAAAAACCCCCCACTTCTTGGTTTCTGCCTTACGCGGAATAATAATTGCAAATCATGCAAAATATGCATTATTTTTTTAAAAAAAAATATTTTGTCATGATTTTGAATCATCTTCAAAACGCAGACCAACATGAATTACCTGTCGAATTGAATTGTCGATGCCATAAAATATGCCAACCTTTTGATATGCATCATGATTAATATTTTTGTCAACATTCGCGGAAACTAGTCCTTTATCACTTAAGATCAGAAAAATAGTACTGGATCAACGCCAAAGAAGACAGACTGTTTTGAATAAATTTCAACAGTTAAGAGGCTAAGGTATTGTTCAGTGCATCACAAAACTACGGGCATCTCCAATTTACTAACAAGGTCATCAGAAAATGGCAGCCCGAGTCTCAGCTCACTTAGAAAATTGTAGTTTAGAAAGGAAGAGGCAGTGAAGAAGAAGAAAAGGAAAGTGTGAGTGTCTTTTCAATCCTTCAACACTTGCGGAATGAAAGGGTTTGGAATTGGATGGCAGCGGATCGATCCTCTATTACACAAGTGGGTGTTATACCTCTATTACACTCTTCAAATTAGAGTAACTCTTGTACGTTTTGGTGTAATTTTTCATTGGGTGGATGTAGACCATCAAAGTAAATCTTATATACATTACTAGAGGAGGAGTGGCCGCGCATCGCGCAGGTGTTTGGTGCCTATGGTTAAAGAGAATTTTTCACTGGACAAATAATAGTACATTTTGGAAAGAAATAGTCATCAAATATGACAAAACTAATAATAGTACATTCTAATTGTAGCACACACTTGTATATTTTATTTTATCAATACTTTTATAATTTTACCATTCCCAAAAGAACCTTACAGATATGAGTTGAAAATCGCTCAAGAGAAAACATAAGTTATTTCAGACAAAGGAATACCCTCCAACGGCTAGTTATAGCAACGTGTTAATATATTTTTGTATTAATTGCACAATAAAAGCCACACTTCAATTAAATATGTCTATAACACCATTTCAATAATTATACCAACACATAAGTTTATATGAGTTGTACTCGATGCAAAAAAGTTTGCAAAATAATTCCATATTTCAGAAATATCCAGATGTCTACATAAATCAAAACTTTAAATGTACCAAAATGAGGGCATTTCAGTAAATATACCTAAACACATGCTGCTCTCAGTTGTACCAAAAACTTAAAAAAAAAAACTATACAATATTCCGCATCCCCAAAAAACCCCTATCCATGCGGTTGAAATTCAAACCCTCTTTGACCACAACTCATTTTTATATAGTATAAGAAAATTAATTATATGTTAGTGTATAGAAAATTTATCTTTGATATAAAAGAATTAGTGTAATAAGGATGTAGCACATAAAAGTATAACAGAAACGATTCCTTTGTTCTCTTCTTATCCCTCGTTTGGTTTGGTACGTAAGAATGGCTTGGAGAGAAAAGGTCTTTTCAACTTGTCCATTCCATTCAAACATTTGGTATGGTTCATTTAAGTTGGAAAGCCCTTTTCCTTGGAATGTTTATTCCAATTTTTTTTTTCTGAAATCCCATTTATCAAAAAGAAAAAAACTTAAGAAAAGTTTTTCCACCTCTATTCTAGAACGCTTAAACAGTAGGATGTCAAATTTATCCGTATAAATTGTTACATTGCATCCTAATAGCTGAAGACTATTTGTAAGTTCAATAAATATTTGAATGTAATATATTTTTCATAATAATTAATTTTCCTTGTATTTAAAATAATTTTTTCCTTTTATACCAGGAAACAACTGTTTTAAGATACTTTATTCTTTGACTTTTGAACAATTGTGCAAGAATTTCTTTTGAATCTTTTAAAAATTGAAAATAAATTATAATTATTTGACTTCATGTAATTTATGTTCTACGATGCTAATTATATTGCTAGTAAATGCAAAATTTTAACTTACAAATCTATATATTAAAATGAATCAAGTATTACAATTGAAGAATTTTGATATTAATCCTCATTTATTTTTGAAGTAAAAATATCAAAATTTTACGTAAATAGACAAATACTATTATAAAACAAATAAAAAAGTAATAAGACATATTATGTCCTATATATAAACGAATTTAGGGCAATCCAGGCAAATTTGCATTTAGTATATTCCAACCTTACATCTAAATATTGATTATACCAAACATTGAAAACTGAGTAAATATTCCATTCTAACTTGTCCACTAAACTCTAGAATAATGAACTTGTTTCCCCACCATTCCCACGTATCAAACGAGAGGTTAATCCCATTAGGTATATCTATTGTAGGAGTAGTTGTAATAGACCAAGAAAGTTTCTGGTCAAAACTTGCCCACATGATACTGCAGCTGTTGGGAGACAAGAAGCATTTAACTGTACCCTGGATTCCAATGGATTGGGAAGTCTGAATTCACTAATTCAAACTTTGTGGAGAAAGGGAAAGGGAAAGAATTAACTAGATTCAACAAACACTAGAGATGCTAGTGTCCAGAAGACCTTGTCTGTAAGGGGAAAAGTAGCAAGGATGAGAAAATGTCCGTCACAATAAGATTTTTAAATGGAAATTCCAGAGATTTTTTTTTTTTTTTTGAAGCAATTCCAGCGATTAATTACGCTGGAAAGTCTTTGAGTCGAGGTATAGGTTGATGGGAACACGAAGACAGATTCCCATTGCCAACCCAAACTTTGACTATCTTGCCATCCAAAATTCTACGGCTACAGATCAAATATAACCTCATACATTAATGTAATTGTGATCAGTTAAAAAGTCAATGACCAGATGTTTAAGTCTGCATTAGACCACAAATCAAGGATCTCGATGCCCATAATTTCAACTAGGAAAATATCTTATAGAACTAGCATTGTGCAGTAAATTCAGGGTGCATGCATGGATGAGCAACAATTTACAACTACGTAAATGTAAGGAGTGGAGTAGACATCCTTAAAAAGTCCAACAGCATTCTTACCATCTATTAGTAGTAATTTCTTCTAAATTGACACTAGGGATGGACAGTCATTGAAATACTAATAAAATCTTAATCAAACATATATAGATGAAATCTTGCTCAAGATTACTCCTTTTTGTCGCAGCTAATCTCTCTTTTCTCAACAGTTATGTCCATCATTTTGGGGAAAAGAATTTTCAGATGACCGTGCATATTAAATATCCCGATGAATGCGTATGCTTGAACACAAACACAGAAAAAATTATTGAGCATTTGTTCTCGACAACATCAATATTTTAGCTCCCAACCACTACTCGTCTTAATTGGCTTCACTTGTACCATAGATAATGACATCAGAAGTAACAGCTAAGGAATTTGAAACATGATGCATGGTGTGGCTTGATAGTCAAATCAGCAACATTGATGTTGTATTTGTAATTTTGAATCTTATGAATATTTTTTATGTTCAATCAGGAAATTAGGAGTGCTTCTAGGAATGTTGCTGTTTTTAACATGGGGCAAGTCCGCAATAACTTCAATGTGCAGTGATGAACTCCATTTAATCTACCTGAAATCCAGTTTAGAAGAAGGGCTAAAGTTTATTCAAGAATAAGAAGATAAACAACATGAATAAAGATAAACTGAAACAGCATATAGTGGTGAACCATTACAAATTTCAAGCATCATCAACCCCTGAATTCAGGTTACTTTAGAACAAAAGAAATTTTAAACTTTTGGGGACAACCAACACCCTAACTCACCTCTTTTCATGTGCCTTTAGAGTAGATAATAGAAGAACCCGATAATAGAGACCCTCTCAGCTATATGTTTTGGGCTTCATGTTTTACTGTAATTTCCATGATTTTTTCCATGGCTTTCAATAAAACAACAAGCATCAAGGACATTGTTGAACTGCTCGAAAGGCCTAAAACATTGACCTTCTCTTGAATTGTAAACTCCAATTCTTCGAGACTTCAATATTAAATGTTCACCCTTGGCTGATATCGTAAGTAGATTTGGGAAAAACGAAGGACACGAATTTTCAACACTAACCACCTTAGTCCAAGATTTTCCATATTCCTTCGTGATCCACAGCTCACCAGCCTGTAGACAACCATTTAGGTCCGGAATTTTATAAAACCAAAGGTTCCCTCCGATTTCTCCTTACTTCCCCGAGAGATCATTCTCTTTAATTAGGATTCGGTGCTTCCAACTCTCTGTACATCTCCGTGGCTAAATCAAGAGAAACAATATATGCTCCACGCGCTGTTTCCTTGGCCAGGAAATGGAGCTTCCCCTCGACCAGCACACCAGGTCCAGAAGACAGATATGATGTATCGCCAGGCAAATCAGCAATCCTTCTCCAAGCTCCAGCTTTGGAGCTGTAAACTAGAGTCCCATACCTCGAGTATTTGGCATTCATTACCAGTACCACTACTTTATAATCGTCACTAGAAGCATCAAACCCGAAGCCCGAGATCACAGATAAGGAAGCTGTCGATGGAAGAATTAACTCAGGCAAATTCTTGTATTTTCTTATTGATGGATTCCACAAGAAGAAATACGATTGACGAGGTCGAAAGACGCAAATACATATCAATCCCTCACTACAGCCAACAATTTCAAAATACCTGCACAGGTGTCTATCGTTGGTAGTTGTAAGGGCTCCTTCATCCTGTGGGATTAGGACATGGGGACTAGCCTGTCCGTACAATAAAGAGTTGAGAGAACAATATTTGAAGCTGCAATTGTTCTCCAACACAAGTAGGCTTTGGTTGTTTAGCGAAGTCTGGTAATTGAGATGAGCTTTGATGAATTGAGGGCTCGAAATTAACGCAAGCCATGATTTCGAAACACACTTGAATTTCAAGAGTGATTTCACTGGAAGCTTTGACAGAATTTCAGGTATGAGATGAAAAGGGATATATCTATCCATCATTGATGTTATTGTTCGATGAAACTATATTGCTCTCAATACTCTGTTCTGATCTTCTTTATTTTTCGAAGATTTTGTGGTCTTTATGAAGTTCATCAATATCTATGCTTTCACTATATGTGCTGGATTCGGAAAAACAGAACGTGAAACTTTTTGGCAACTAATAATACTTCTACAATCTACATGAAACCTTTTTTGTCTGGAATATGTTTGTATCTCCTCGTCATGTACAAAACCTATTGGCATCTAGAGTTTATAACAGGAAAGGTAATACGGAGAACAAGTTACTTGGACTTTCCGAACTCTATTCTTAACCATATTCCGTTTCCATGGCAAGTGGCATAAACAAGGACTCTTTTGACGTAAAATCAGAGGTGGCAATTGAGATCAATGGGCCTCTTAGGATTGGCTCAGATGTTCTCGGGATAGCTTCGTTAGGTCCTGAAGTCATGTTAGGTCCTGAAGTCATGTGTTCGAGTCAACTCTCTATCACTTATATATTCTTGGAGGGTGGGGTGCACAGGTGCAAGGAAATTAGTCTGACAAAGTTGGGATACTCCCTATGTTGAAAAAAAAATTGAGCTCAATGGGACTTTGTGCGGGATGAATTTAGAGCATTTAGCATTGGGTATTAGATGGGATCAATCCCGTGCTCAACAAGTAATGGGAGTGCTTGTGTGTTAATTAGCGCCCATCACATAATACAACTACCTTACATAAAAAATTAGTCCAACGTTTATAATAGTTAAAACTAGGGGAATTTTATGTAAATTACTCAATATCTTATGAGTCTAAATTTTTAAATTATTACTAAAATTTAAAATTTTTATTAATTTTTATTTTTGTAACAAACAATTTGTTGCCAAAAAAAATCAACTACTGAAAGATAAAAAAAAAAAAAAACTTGAGTAGTAAATCATAGTATACAAGGATTTAGTAGACGATGATTTACAATGTAATATTTAGAGGGTGTGCCAAACGTTATTGATCTTAAAAAAGCTGCAACAATTGTGAAAGATAATTGACAAGAGTTCAAACCTTGTCTCCCACCAAAATGCCACTCTTGTAGCTCTGCTTCAAATCCAGACGAGTGCGTAAGTGCACCCGTCTGGTTCGGTGGTGGTTCTATCTCCATCAATCCCCTGTAAGCTCAGTTGAGCCTCTCCATAGTTAGAGCAGGAGTAGGGATGACAATTGACAAAAAAAAAAAATTTGTAAAAAATAATTTCTTTAAATATCAAATAACTAAAGGTAAATAAATGCCCCTGCGGAATTGCGTTTGTAATTCGTCGAAGAACACACCCTCAAAAGAATAACACACAACATGAAGAATATTAAGACCACGCACAGCTTGTAATCAGCGAATTGAACTCCCATGCGAATATGGCAGTAGCAAGCCCGGATCCATTTAGAATTGGAATGGTAGGACAGGCTACTATCAGTTTCCAAATTCAATTCTTAATTACGATAAGGATTGGTGTCCTAACAGGTAACAATTGGGCAAAAACAAGGATTTGATTAGAGGGCACTAGTTAATATAATACTCTAGCATCTAGATTCTAGTCAAATATCGGACATTTTAGTCCAAAAATATATATTAAAAAAAGTCCCATTTCATTTTGATTAAGTGGGATTTTGTATTTGAGGGACTAAAGAAGTTTCGGAACCAAAAAATAATTTGGAAATAATTGAAGGGTGCAAAATAAAATTAACCCCATAAATAAAGAAAAAAAAATTACCCAACAGTTGTACCTTACTAAATGAAGATTTTAGCCATCAAATTACTACACCGTCTTGGCTTCGTGTCCATAGGCAACGATACCAGACACAATAGCTAAGGAAAGTGAAAGATGATGGTAAGCTTGACAAAGAAGCAAAACAATGGTGTTTTATTTGTATTTTTCAATCTAATGAACAATTTCGTGTACTTAATCAGGACAAATATCTAGTGACTGCTGCAAATCGATTTCAATTATCGCTTTTTAGGACTTATGATGACTTATAAAGAATTGCCATTAAACTCAGGATAAATCAGCAATAACTTCAAACATGCAACGATGCCCCAGTCAATCTACCTAGAATCCAGTTTACAAAACAAAAGCTACAAGTTTGTTCAAGAATGAGCAGATAAACAACCTGATGAAGATACAATGTCAAAAACTTGACTCTCTGATGTCTCAGCTGGTAATAAAGGCCCTTTAAACTGTTTGTTTTGGGCTTCATGTTGTCATTGCAGTTTGCATCATTTGTGCTCAGCAAACCAAGGCTTTCAATGAAACAACTAGCATGATAAGGTAATTAAATTTTTTTTGTCTAGCAGAATAAATTTCAGGTTTTTGAGAAATATTGCACAAAAGTTCGAGACAGTGTACTAAAATGCTTAGTTATGGCCCCATAAGGTGGTAAAATCTTATCCTAGTAAGGGTTTTCTTTGATCTAAGTTCATCAATAACTTCAATATCATCCATAAAGAACTGCAATCTTCAATTGAACTACCTGAACTCCAGTCAAAACTTCAACATGCATCCATAAAGCACTGCTGATGTTTTACACCAAGCAAAAAATGTCTAGTCAAAACTTGCCCACATAATAGTGCAGCAGTAATGAGACCAGAAGATGAGACCTAGCCGGGAGTTGCTAGGAAAACAATCCGATCATGTGCTCTGTTCTCAGCAAACTATTGCCTTCATGTCAAATCTATGTCTTGCTGTACAGGACGATAATATCATGATGATTACTACTAATCCACATATTCTGACATCAAATTACTACTACAAAGCGGTTCACTTTATATGGAATCAAATTGACTAGGAAATAAATAGATTAACAAACACTACAGAAACTAGGGTTCTCAGAAGATTGTCTATAAAGGAAAAAGTCACAAGGATGAGAAAATATCAGGCATAATAAGTTGTTTCAATGGATATGCCAGCTGATTTGTTGTGCTGTCAAGTCTTCAGTCCAAGGTATAGGTTAATGAGAACACAGACACAGATTCCCATTGCGAACCCAAACCTTTGACTATCTTGCCATGGAAACTACTACAGCTTCATATCAAACATAGCCTCCTAAAATATTGTAATTGTGATAAGTTGAACAGCCAAAGTAGTCTTCTACTTCACATCTGTATGTCCGCATTAGCTCACAAATCAAGGATCTCAATGCCCATAATTTCAACAGGAAAAATATCTTATTAAGGATGGAAGTGTACAGATGGAATTTAGCAAAAAGAAAGTCATTCGATCAAAATGCTCAGGATGTTATCAAGATCAAAATGTTGGATGGTGCACTCCAGGTTTGAATGAGATTCTCAAGCCAACCACAAATAAAAAATTTGAAAGATCGAGGCTTTTTCACTGCCTGCCACCAACTTTATGTAATGCTGCCAAAATTTTAGCATACACAAGATTGTTGATCAAAGAACTAAACACCTTATACTCAACTGATGTCAAATAAACTTAATGTGAATTCGAGGTATATGTGAGTACACCTCAAAGAAGCAAGAAGCCCCGTGAGTTTCTTGGCCAAATAAATCCTACCAAAATATAGCCATCCCACAGGTCCTTTGACTCCATCCAACATTCCTGAATAGAAATTGTCCATGTGCCTTCCTCACAATCCCACTTATCTACAGGCTACAGCTGTCTAAGACACCATTATCTCTCATCAACATTCGAAAGGTATTTTAATAAGCCATAAGCCCTTAATCATTAATGGGTGTATTAGAAGAATCAAGTCTACCTGATAAAACTAAGGGGATCAAGTAAAAAGATTATGTTGTATGCAAGCTATATTTCTTCTCACCAAGAAGGATCGGGCAGCGGACAACCCACATGGCAAAATAACATGACAGGTTTATTCATTGAGAATATGCATTTTCATACATGACAGAAGTTTGAAGTGAACTATTCTTATTACAGAATAACATGTTGACAGTTATCTCTGAAATTTTACAAGAACAGGACTAGCAATAGATCTGACTATAAGTATCTTTCTTCTGCGTTAGTTGCGAGAATGCTCGGCATCTGATATAGGCCGCTTAAAATAAGACGGAATATCCAATTTCACTATTTTGATGTTGAGATTACTTGTTTATATCAATCAATGTTGTCCAATTTAGCTTTCCATATTTCAGCAAATATACACACTAAACTGTTCAACATCTTAATGAGGGGAAAAGGTTATCTTAAAAAGAATCCTCAACTAAATCTATTAAAGATAGATTCAAAGATACATTGAAGGTTGAGGGACCATATATACCTTTCAATATCTTCCTCGAGAAGAAACTTGCCCTACTGGCAAAAACAGCTACCATACAGTTATAGATAGAATGCGGAAGTGAAGAGCCTTCTTTGGAGCACAGCATTTCTTTTCGTTGGATAAGGCAGTGAATATCATACTTTCACTCTTTAATAATGAGACTAACTTTGATGACTTTCTGAACATGCAGTGAGAAGTGAATGAAACATTCAGTAAGGTTACTACTGATCATCAATCTCTTAATAACTCACAAACAGGTAATTAGGAAAAAAATTACCATAACTAAGAAGTCAGAGATTGTTGTGTTTCTTAATCTTTAGATTAAGACATTACAACAACTAAAGCTCCTTACAGAGACAAGATATCTGCTCAATGAAACAAACTTTCCGCGACCAATTGATAAACTTTCCAATCAACAGAATTGATAAAGTCATACTAACAAAAGCTGCACTCCATGCAAGAAGTAAATGTTTATCATAGAAACAAATTTGAATAAAATCAGATTCCAAGTCTACATTATGCAAGTGACCTCAAAAGGATAAATGCTAATAATTGAAATTGACATTAGCTATGGTCAATCTCCATAAAAGTTACCTCCTTTACAAAATTATGAATTTCAAAGCACCAAGCCCCTGATTGCGAAATAAAACAGACTTCAGCATCATCCTCCGTTCTCATTCCTGTTAGAGATATCGACCATCTCAATGCGCTCATTTTCAGGCAAAACTGACCAATTTGGA